TTCATCAGGCTAAAGAGCTTCTGCAAGGCAAAGGAAACCAGTTTCAAAACAAAAAGACAACCTACCGAATAAGAGAAAATATTTGCAAATCACATATCCAAAAAGGGGTTAATCTCTGTAATATATAAAGAACTCACACAACTGAACAACAAAAAAAAAAAACAATCAAAAAACAGGCAGAGGATATGAACATTTTTCCAAAGAAGACATACAGATGGCCAACAGGACCATGAAAAGATGTTCAACATCTCCAATTACCAGGGAAATGAAAATCAAAATTATGCTAAGATATTACCTTACATCAGTTAAAATGGCCATAATCACCAAGACAAGAAAGTAACAAATGTTGGAAAGGATGTGGAGAAAATGAAATCCTCATACACTGCTGGTGGGAATGCAAACAAGTGCAGCCACTGTGGAAAACAGTATGGAGATTTCTCAAAAAACTGAAAATACAAATACCATATGACCCAGCTATCCCACTGCTGGGTATCTATCCAAAGAACTTAAAATCAACAATTCAAAACAACTTCTACACCCCTATGTTCATTGCAGCGCTATTCACAATAGCCAAGACATGGAAACAACCCAAGTGCCCATCCACTGACAACTGGATAAAGAAGATGTGGTATATATATACGATGGAATACTACTCAGCCATGAAAAAAAGACAAAATTGTCCCATTCGCAACAACACGGATGGACCTGGAGGGTATTACCTTAAGAGAAATAAGCCAGATGGAGAAAGACAAACAACAGATGATTTCACTCATATGTGGAAGATATACACATGGACAAAGAAGAGTTCAGTGGTTACCAGGGGAAGGGGGCTTGGGGGTGGGCAGAGGGGGTGAAAGGGAGCACTTAGATGGTGATAGACAATAATGTACAAGTGGATTTCACAATGTTGTAAATTATTATGAAGTCAATTAAAAAAAACTAGTAAAAGCAAAGTAAACCCAAGGGAAACAGAAAGAATGAAATAATAAAGATTAAAGTCTAAATTAATGAAATAATAAACAGCAAAACAACAGAGAAAATGTAAACCACAAAAATAGATTACTTAAAAAAAATCAACACAATTGACAAAACTTTAGCCACACTGACCAAAAAGAGAGCAAAAGCAAGGATGAGAGAGACAGACAGACAGAGAAAGAAAAAAAAAAGACATTAACAAAATTAGGAATTGGGGATCGGCCCCGTGGCCCAGTGGTTAAGTTCACGCGCTCCGCTTCTGAGGCCCAGGGTTTCACCGGTTCGGATCCTGGGTGCGGACTGATGCAGACTGGCTCATCAGGCCACGCTGAGGCAGCATCGCACATGCCACAACTAGAAGGACCCACAATTAAAATATACACCTATGTACTGGAGGGATTTTGGGAGAAAAAGCAGGGAAAAAAAAAAAGATTGGCAACAGTTGTTAGCTCAGGTACCAATCTTTAAAAAAAAACTCTCCCACATTTAAAAAAAAATAGGAATTGAAGAGAGGACATCATTTCCTGCCTTACAGATATTAGGATTATAAGGAAATACTATGAACAATGTTATGCCAACAAATTAGACAACTTTGATGAAATGCGCACATTCCCAGAAAGAGACCAAGTACTGAGACTGGCTCAAGAAGAAACAGAAAACCTTGGTAGACCTTACCACACATAAAGAGTAATTTAAAATCTTCCCCTAAATAAAAACCCAAGCCGAGATGATGTGATTTGTAAATCCTCCCAGATATTTAAAGAAGAAATTATACCAATCCTTCTACAAATTCTTCCAGAAACAGAGGCGGTAACTCTTCCCAACTCATTCTAAGTGGGCAGTATTACTCTGATACCAAAACCAGAAAAGACATTACAAGAAAAAGAAAATTTCAGACCAATATCTCTCATGAACACAGATGCAAAACAGTCAGCAAAATATAAGCAAACTGTACACCACCAAGAGTGAATTTTACTGTTTGCAAATTAAAATCAACCAGGTTGCTAGAGGAACTCAAAATGGAATGCAGATTGTGACAAATGCAGATCATGACAAATGAATCTGAGTGTTACAAGAGGATCACATAACCTCGCTGAAGGGGAGCTGAAAGGAGCTGAACGGAGTAATTTATGTAAAGTAGTGTTTGACTGGATAGGGTGAAGCTAACTAGGAAAGAACTGTACACAAACACTTTGGTAAGTTGTTCACGGGGTTGGCAACTCTGAAACTACTCTACATGTATTCTAGGACTGAACAAATAAGTAAATATATTGCAGATAATTAGACCAGGTTTCTCTGGAGAAAAGTTACACATAAGCAAAAGGAGACATTTCTAGAATGAACCCTGTGGTTCTGGATTAGAGTCTGAGGCATCAGTATGAACGCATTTATACACACACATGCATACACACATGCATAAATAAATACAGAAATATAGGTAAGTATGTCTAAATGGGAACATATACTTCCTAGTTCTGTCTGCTGAGGACCTGGGAGGAGAGACTCCCTAGAAGCTATGAGCACACCTGAGCACCCGGAACTTGTTTTTTCAAATTCCGTTCTGCAATAAAAGGAACCAGAACTCCTTGGAGAAGTAGTTGACTCCAGACTGGGGCAAATAAAGGACAAGAGGGTCCTGGAGCACCTTGTAGGGCTAGAAGGTAAAGTCCTTGAAAAAAGCTGGAAGGGGATGCAGGCATGTGAAAAGGACTCAGGAGCTAACCCAAAAGAACTCACAATGGTCAAATCTGGAACAATTTGGGCAACCAAATTCATAGTGATACTAGATAATAGCCCAAAGAATAAAATAAATATTGATGAGTCCATACAGATATAAGTGACTGAATACACAAATAAATTGAGAGAACTCTTCCTTAGAGAAGAATTCTAATTAAGTGTAACAAAACAAGGGAAGTAGAAAATCACCATTAGAACACCACAATAATAATCGCTGCAAGATCCACTGGTGATGCTAAAATCAATGGTGAAAGTTGAAAGATAAACAGGATTTTTGCGTAGCATCAAAGTATAGCCCCCAAATATTTATTACACAGGAAAAAATAGTAACTATACAGTGGAGAACTACGGCAGCCACCACCCTAACCAGGTGACCAAGGTTAGCATTTCCTATAATAAGACATGGATATTAGGCACCGTCTGAGATGAGGTGCTGAGAAGGGAACACCACCTCTGTGAGATTCTTCTTAAAAACCCGTAACCTGAATATACTCATCAGAGAACAGCAGGCAAGCCCAAACTGAGGGAAATTCTACAAAATACCCAACCAGCACTCTTCAAATGTATAAAGGTCACACAAGATATTAAGACAGAGAAACGGTCACAGTTTGGAGAAGACTAAGGAGACAAGACAAGGCATTGTGGGATTCTGGACTGATACTGGGACAGAAAGAAAACTTCACTGGAAAAACTTGGGAAATCCAATTAAAGTCTGAAGTTTTGCTAATAGCATTGTATCAATATTAATTTCCTAGTTTCAATGGTTGTTCTGTAAGATAGTAACATTAGGAGAAGCTCTCTGAAGACTAGACGGGGATTCTCTGTGCTGTCTTTGCAACTTCCTGTAACTCTAAAATTACATCAAATTCAAAAAATTTAAAAGACCGAGTCATTTCCTAACACACAATAGGCATGACCTAACCAATAGGGAGGTCAGGTGGGCAGTGAGAAGCAGAAGAGGGAAAAGGCAAGTGCATGGGTCGCCATCTTACAGAAGCAAAACACAGGAATCAGGAGCTAACATCCAGAGGCGTAAAGTAGTGCTACTTTCCCATCAGCTGGACCACAGACAACCTGATACGGTTAGGTCCGGCCGCTCAGGAGTCAATTATTCTTCCACTTGGATTCAAAGAGCAAAGACACAGGAACATTCAGTAAATTAACAGAAGGTCACATATATATTCAATATATATTATTATATGTAATATAATACATATTACAATATATTCTATACATAATATATTGCACATATTATATATGTATATAGGTTATATACACATATACGTAATACACATTGTTATACATATTACATATATTACACACATGTAAGTAATATGCATATAATATATATTGCATATTGATTATATATTAAACTATAATTATATGCTAATTATACATACATACATATATTGTTATACAGATATACATAATTACTGTACATATATAATATATATGTATTATGTATTCTTATATATTACATTATGTATGTAATATATACATATTACATATAATATACACATATATATTATTATACACATACATGACTATATAAAAATAATGTGACATATACAAATATCTATGACTATAAATACGTGAAAGATATGATTTTGTTCATTTACAGAATCTTCATGTGGTACACCAAATGTTCACAGAGAGAGAGAATATTATGTAGATTCTAAGAAAGATGGACAAGGGCCCAATTCAGCAAACTGGGAAGGTGGGAGGAGACGACTCCAGGAGCACTGGGCCTCCTGCTTCCCTCTTCTGTTCAGGGATCCTGACCACTGGGCTGCGCCAGGCTAACAAGTTCCAGCCACCCAACTTCTAGGGGCACATCTGGCAGAAAGACGATGGGGATGAAACATTGTCTCTCTGGAGAGAGCTGACCGACTTGGCGGCGGGAGTGGCCCCCAGGAGCAGCACCCTAGGCCCCTCAAGGGCAAAGCTGGACTCTCATCGTCTCCTACAATGCTCCTCCAAGGAACCAGCGAGGGCCAAGCAGCAAAGTACTGGGGAACAGACCCTGGTGGGCCCGGGAAAGGGAACCAAATCTTTAAAGCCAGGCTGAGCAAGGCGGAGGTTTGGGGAGAAGGAAGACCAACAGCCCACAGAAGCAGCCACTCCAGCTGATTAAGGGCAGTTGGTTGAGCCTGGGGAGCTCAGCACCTGCTGGAAGCTCTTCCACTGTGAATTACTGCTGGGGACTGGAGGGGGCCAGGCCGTGCAGCAGGTGGGCGTGGAGGAACAGGAAGGCTGAGGGCCCCGCGGTCTGAGTCCGCCTGTCTTACCCTTCCAAGACCTTGTTGATCCTCCGAATCGCAGCTCTCTTCTCTAAGTCAAGGTCTTCAGCAGTGACTCTGTAACCTAGCTGCGGGGCTGGGGGGAGGATCAGTGGGCCATTTCGCCTAGAGGGCAGCAGCAGAGGAACCTTGCGTTTCCGGGGCCTGGAACGGTCCAATGGGGGTGAGCAGTTCCTCAAGTTTTGTTTCTGCCCTGAGGGGACATCTGCAGCCTTTTCATGCTTGGTCTGACTTTGCGGTTCCACTGAGGCTGAAGATCTAGACTGATGGCTTTCCTCGCTGGCTTTCTTTGCAGGCACGTGGGGAGGGGATGCTGCTGGGCCCTGGAGCCGAGCTGTGCCTGGACCGCTTCTCTGCAGCAGCGGGAACCCTCGAGTGGAACTGTATGAACTGATGATGGCATTTCGTTTGCTGCAGGAATTCAAAAAGCAGGTCTGAGATTTCTCAATCAGGCTGTTCTCTGAACTGTGGAAACAGAAGTCTCTCCCCAGAGGCCCAGGCCTGGGCACGAAGGAAGAGAGGACTCCGTTGACCATCAGGCTCCTAAACGCGGACCGCGCACCCCCGCTGCTGCTGGAGCCCCTTCTCTGATCCTCCACCGTCTCGGCGCCTGGGTGCCCCTCCTGTTTTGCTAGCACTTTCCCGCTCTCAGTCAGGACACTCAGGTCCTTCTCTTTCTTGGCTCTCAGCTGACCGCTCCCTTCGAGAGCCCTCACCAGAGTCTCCCTTACGCAAGGGTCTGGGAGGTGACCATTTAGTGAAGACCACATACAGAGGACTGTCTGCTTCAGAGCCAAACGGAGCGTCACTTTGCCCCTAGCAGATGCCATTTTCAGGATCACCGAGGCGCAGAGCCTCTTAGAGCCGCAAGCGGACAGCACTGGCTGCGTCTGAGGGCCGCTCCGGGGCACCGAGGAAAAGACGCCCAGAAATAAACACCGGGCCTGCTGGACTGGATACTGCCGCCGATGGACTATGACAATCCGCCGACGGTGCCGACGACGACGGGGCGAAGCCACAAGATCCTCGTAAGACAGCCTGCGAGCCGGTTCCAGGGTCGGGGCGGCCGAGTGGACGCAGCCGGCCGGGGGCCCGCGGCAGGCGGGGTGTGCCGGCCCCAGGCGCTCGGGTCTCGCCCGGGGGTCCCCGCTCAGAACAGCCGAGGCCGGCGGCGCAGGGCGAGGCCGGCTCAGGCAGCCGCCCATGAGGAGCAGCTCTGCACGGTCGCGTCCTTCCAACGGAGTCCGCGGCTCAGCGAGGTTTCCGTTAGCTGCCCCAGGGCCCGGCGCCGAGCGCGCACTCGTTGGAACGCGCGAGCGAAGAAGGGGCGCGCGACGGCCGGGCTGCCCGACGCCTTGCTGCTGCCGGGCGGTGTTGGCAGGAAGGGGACGGGCTCCTTGCGGGCGCAGCTGCCTTCCGCAGGCCAGGCGCCAGCTCCCGGGGGGACAGGGACGGTGCAGGCCCGTGGTCCCGCGAGCCCGAGAACGGCTCTGGCTCAGCAGCGCCCACTCCCGGCGGGAGTTTCGGGGTCGACGCCGTCCGCCCGTCCTTCCCTCCTGGTCCCCCCCCCCCCCCCCCCCCCCCCCCAGAAGGGAGCTGCTCCGGACCCGACCGTCGGATGCCAGAGTCGCTGCCCCTACCCCTGTCCTTCCCAGATACCCTTCTTGGCTCCGCCTCCCGTCGCTTGGAAAGTAAGGATTCTAGACAGTTTATAATGAACAGAAATCAGAACTGAGAGGGAGAAGACTGGCATTTTTTTGGACGGCTCCGACAGCCAGGACCAGTATTATCTGGTACCTAAAACTTAAATTCCTATTTTGAAGGCCATGCTTTGCCATCGCCCGAATCTTTACTTTCTGCGCCTCGCGCCCCCGCAGATCCTGGAGGCCTCCGCAGCGTTCTTTCTCGGTAAATCTGTGTCTACAGGATGGGAGAGGTGACCTGGCAATGCAAGTTGGGACTCAGAATTTGGCTCCTTACAAACCTTCTGACTGAAGTTAATATTATTAGTTGAATGGTGAACACATTCAAATATTCAGACTATTTAAAATGTTTTGATGTTCTGATAGTTACACCCCCCCCCCCCCTTTGGTTTGATTCTTTTTGTTCTTATCTTTTTGCCTTATCCCAAGCGGAGAGGCAGCTGTCATTTTGTGTAACCGACAGCTAAAGGGGTGTCCTTTAATGAGATACACAAATGGCTTCTAAAATTCAGGAGTTTGACTTTCATTTTTGTGCAAAAAGATTTTAACAATATTGAGTTCTCAACCTCCCCGTGTTGTATCAGCCTGTTGCGCTTCAAAGCCCTTTTTAAAATGAAATAGAAAAATTCACGATGGGGTGCCTATACCACCACAATATTAAGGGAATTATCCCACGTGTTTAAAGGTAATCCATTTCTCAATTAAAGAAATAAATCTTAATTATAGACTCATTAAAGTAAAATGTAATCATGTTTTGTGACCCAACAAATATCATCTTGAATAATTCTTTTCAGCAATTAATTTTTTAAACAGCTTTATTTACACACCATAAAATTCGCCTATATTAAGATTGCACTTCAAGGGTTTTCAGTAACTTTACAAAGTGTAACTTTCACCACAATCGAACCTTATAACATTTCCATTCACCCAAAAAGAAAATTCATGCCTATTTGCAATCACTTCTCATTCTTGTTCATAGGCCCATTTTTGCACAAAAATGAAAGTCAAACTCCTGAATTTTAGAAGCCATTTGTGTATCTCATTAAAGGACACCCCTTTAGCTGTCGGTTACACAAAATGACAGCTGCCTCTCCGCTTGGGATAAGGTAAAAAGATAAGAAGAAAAAGAATCAAACCACTAATATGTTTTTGTTTCTGTAAATTTGCCTTTTTTGGACATTTCACATAAATGGACTCTTAGAATATGTGGTCTTTCGTGTCTAGTTTCTTTCACTTAGCATGTTTTTGAGGTTCATCCATATAGTAGCAGGTATTAGTACTTCATTACTTTTTTTGGCTCAAACAACACAAATTAATTTTGTCACTACTCTGAGATCAAGGTGTCAGCAGGGATGATTTGTTTTGAGGCCTCTCTCCTTGACTTGTAGATGGTGTCTTCTCCCCGTGTCTTTGCATGGTCTTCCGTGTGTGTGTGTGTGTGTGTGTCCTAATCTCCTTCTAAGGACACCAGGAACATTGGGTTAGGGCCCGCCCAATGACCTCATTTAACCTTAATCACCTCTTTAAAGACCAAATACGGTCACATTCTGAGGTACTAGGGGGTTAGGACTTCAATATGAATTTTGCAAGGAGACAACTTAAGCCATAACACTCCACCATCTAGTTCCCCAAATCCATGTCCTCAAATGCAAAATACATTTGTCCCATCCCAACAGCCACAAAAGTCTTAACCCATTCCAGCACCAACTCTGAGTCCAAAATCTCATCTAAATAGCATCTAAATCAGGTATGGGTGAAACTAGAGGTATGATTCATTCTGAAGGAAAATTCCTCTCCAATGGTGAACCTGTGAAATCAAACAAGTTATCTGCTTCCAAAATATAACAGTGGGAGGGGCATAGGATGGACATTCCCATTCCAGAAAGGAGAAATTGGAAAGAGGGAAGAGGGGACCAGCTCTAAGCAAGTCTGAAATCTAGCAGGGAAAATTCCACTAGATTTTTAATTTATTCAAAGATTTAGTGTATCATATCAACGTCAGAACTGTAACTTACATCTTTGACTCTCCAGTCTGCAATATTTCTACAGCACACAATTATGGACATTGATATCTGCAGCTAATTTTAAGAAGCTTTTGTATAAAATTCTGTTAGATTTTAAGACTCGAGAATAATCCTCTTTGGCTCAGTGTTCTGTCCTCTAGGCCATCCAGGGTGGTGGCCGGGCCCCCTCAGCCCTGGGCTGCTGTTGGAACCCACTGGAACCAAAGAGAAGACAGTCTTGCTGCCTGGGCCTGTGCCCTCTGGCCCCTGGTGACAGTGGCAGCCCTGCTGACCTCTGACCCACCTTCAGGGTCATTCCTCCCTGTTCCTAAAGGATAATGCATGTTTGCAGGCAGACAGATATATGGTCCCGTCTCCTGCCTGTAGAATCCCAGAAGTCTGACAGCCTTTTTGGATTTCACCCTACCTCTGTCCTCTTCAGTCCAAGCTGGCAGTGATTCTACTGAGATGGTTGATTGGATCCATATGGCACAGACGCATAATCTCTTTAAGGTTGTCCAGCCAGACCCTTGGTGTTCTCTCCTGAGCACACTTTCTCATTTTTTGTAATATGCACAAGCTGAGAATTTTTTAAATCTTCGAGTCCTGGTTCCTTTTTGCTTAATAATTCCTTTTCCAATTAGCTCCTTTCATATTTTACTATAAGCAGCAAGGAGAACCCAAGGCATGCCTTCAACATTTCCTTAGAAATATCCTCAGCTAAAGGTCCAAGTTCATCACAAGTTCTACTTTCCACAAAACACAAGAACACAATGTAGCCAAGTTCTTTATTAACAAAGATTCCTTTTCTCCAGTTTCCAATAACATGTTCCTCATCTCCCTCTGAGACATACCCAGAAGTATCTTTGATGTTCACATTCCTACCAACATCCTGTTTGTGGTGATATGAATGCACACATGGTACATATATATACACACACACACACATATACATGGCAGTAGAACTTTCTCTACAGTTCTCCTTCCTTTCTGAGTTCTCACAGAATCACATTTAATGTCCATATTTAGTCTCTTTAAGGCAATCTAGGCTTTTCTAACACACACCTCAAAACTCTTCCAGCCTCTACCCGTTACCCAGTTTCGAAGCCTCTTCCACATTCTTTAGTATTTGTTACAGCAGTACCCCACTTCCTAGTACCAAAATCTGTTTTGGGCTGCCATAACAAATCTGGTTTTGGCTGCCATAACAAAGGGCTATACACTGGGCGGCTTAAGCAACAGAAATTTATTTTCTCACAGTTCTGGAGGCTAGAAGTCTGAGATCAAGGTGTCAGTAGGGTTGGTTTCTTTTGAGGCCTCTCTCCTTGGCTTTTAGATAGCCATCTTCTCCCTGTGTCTTCACATTGTCTTTCTTTGGTCTTTATTACTTTTTATGACTGAAAAAATATTTCATTGCATGGCTATACCACATTTCTTAATCCATTCACAGCTGATGGACCTTTGAGTTCTTTCCTCTTTTTGGCTATTGTAAACAATGCTGCTATGAACATTCACATACAAGTCTTTGTGGGGACTCATTTGGCTGGGGTGATTGTTGGGTGATACAGTAAATCTATGTTTAACATTTGAAGAAACTTCCAAACTGTTTTTTCAAAGAGATTGCTGCAGTTTAAATTCCCACCAGCAATGTATGAGGCTTTCCATTTCTTGAGGTCATCACCAACGCTTGTTTATTGTCTGTCTTCATCTGTAGCCATCTCAGTGGGTGAGAAGTGGTACTTCATTGTGGCTTTAATTTGCATTTCTCTAATAGCTAATGATATTAAGCATCTTTTCATGAGACTATTGGCCATTCAAATTTCTTCTGTGGCAAAATGCCTATTCAAATATTTTGCCCATTTTTTAATTGGATCATTTTTCTCATTACTGAGTTTGAGTTCTCTATGTATTCTGGATACAAGCCCCTTAGCAGACAAGTAAGTTGAAAATATCTTTTCACTTTATTGATGGTGTCCTTTGAAACACAAAATTTTTAGTTTTGGTGAAGTCCAGTTTATCATTTTTTCTTTTATCACTTGTGCTTTTGGTGTTATTTCTAAGAAATATTTGCATAACTCAAGGTGTAATATTGTGATTTATAATAAGAAATATATATTTTGTCTTTGTTCCATTCCTGGCACAAAGTTCTTAAACCCTTGTAAACTCCTAAGTGATAAGAGCACTGGGAGCATCTTTTGTTGCAATGAGGTAACTGGTTGGGCTCCTGGATGACTCCTGGATGGGGGCTGATCGCCAGAAAGACCAAGCCATGATTGGAAGCCTGGAATTTTCAGCCCCACCTCCCATTCTCCAAAGAGGAGAGAGATGCTAGAAATAAAGTTAATAATTAATCATGCCTATGGAGAAAGCCTCCATAAAATCCCAACACGACGAGGTTCAGAGAGCTTCCAGGTTGGTAAACACATCCATGTACCATAAGGGTCGTGCACCCCAACTCCATGGGGACAGAAGCTCCAACACTCAGGACCCTTCCAGACCTCATCTGGTCTATCTCTTCATCTGGCAGTTCATCCACATCCTTTATCATATCCTTTACTATATAACTGGTAAACACAAGTAAGTGTTTCCCTGAGTTCTATGAGGTGTTCTAACAAATAATTGAATCTGAAGGGAAGGAGGTCACAGGAAGCTTTGGTTGAAAGCCAAGTCAGACAGAGTTGTGAGTAACCTGGGGACTTGTCTTTGGCACTTGAGTAAGGGGGCACTCTTGTGGGACTGACTCAACCTGTGGCATCTGAAATGCTATCTCCAGGTAGATAGTGTCAGAATTGAGTAAAATTGTAGGACACCCAACGGTGTCACAGAATTGCTTGGTATGGGGGAAATCCC